GGATGAGAGATTACAGCAGTGGTTGGAGGAGAAAGAAAAGAAACAAGAAGAGAGATTACAGCAGTTGTTGGAGGAAAAGAAAAGAAACAGGATGAGAGATTACAGCAGTGGTTGGAGGAGAAAGAAAAGAAACAAGAAGAGAGATTACAGCAGTTGTTGGAGGAAAAGAAAAGAAACAGGATGAGAGATTACAGCAGTGGTTGGAGGAGAAAGAAAATAAACAAGAAGAGGGACTACAGCAATGGTAAGAAAACTAGCACCAGTGGCAACTGGAACAAGAAAGGAAACAAGAAGAACGAGAAAAGAAACATGAAGAAAGTCTCCAACAACTACAAAAAAGTCAGCAACAGTGGCAAGAAGAACAACGAGAGAGAGTACAACATCAGCATGAAGTACAAATGGAAAAGATTAGTCAATTTCAAAGTGAATTAAAGACATTAAAGGACGATTTACTGTCTTTTACACGGGAAAGATATATTAGCCATGGACCTAATCAGCTAAACAAGAAGCCCCTTCCAGACCCTGCAGCTAAACCCTAATTCTGATAACTTCAGTCCTGCCAGAAGTCACATTCTAGACATAAGTGTCAGCAATAGAGATGATTTAGTATGAAGGAAGCCACAGCAATTCGATGAGAAGGCACCATGGGAAGCATATAGAGCACAATTTGAGCTCCTGGCAGAAATGAATGGATGGACAGAGGAGCAGAAAGCAGTGTACTTGGCAATGAGCCTGAAGGAACAACCACTGGAAATACTTGGACAGTTGTCAGCATAAAACAGGCACAACTATAGAGCACTGGTAGAAATCAGATGTGGAACTCAAAATCAGTCCAAAGTCTACAGAGCCCATGCTAAAAAAGAGAGTATGCAAAAGCTGGCACAGGATTTGGAAAATATGGCACACAAGGCCTACCCAACTGCACCATCCAATGTCTTCAAGCTGTTGCTGAGGGATCAGTTTGTAAATGCCTTGAACTGTCCACAACTGAAGATACAAGTAAAGCAAGCACACCCCTCTACTATGCAGGATGCAACGGCCAGAGCTATTCTATGCAAATCGTAGGTTGAGTCCAGCACAGAGGTACCAAGGTTGGTACAGTCATTAGGATTCAAGGCCAGAAAAGGGCAGCTTTCAGAGAAGTTTGAGGGACTTTGCTGGCACTGTAACAAACCAGGGCACAAGAGAGCTCAATACCAGCAACTTCTACACAGAAAAGATGCCATGGCAGGAAATGATGCTACCCAGAAAGGCTGTTGGAACTGTGGAGAGCAAGGACATATGAGAAGCCAGTGTAAGAAGAACACTACCAATAAGTCAGCCTCGGGGAAACCAGTAGTGGTTAGTGCTGAGGGACACTCATCAACCCCCAATGTGAAAGTCCCAACAGCTAAGTGTAAAATGGCAAGCACACATAGTGTCTATGTGACAGGAGAGCTAGATGGCCAAAAGTGCAACTTTGTCATAGATTCTGCATCTCAGCAAACCCTTGTGAGTATCAAGGTGCTCGATCACAAAGGAGTACCAGAAGCCATACAGAAACTCTGTGGTGTGACAGGACATTATGCAAGATTGTGAGGACCAGTAGGGGTAACTATTGAGTTCATGAGTATAAAGGACAGACACAAAGTATACTTGGCTGACATTGAAGACCCATGCATTTTAGGGTTGGACTACTTACTACCGAGGAAGTGTGTAGTTAACTTTGAAAAATGACATTAGGAAACAACAAAGGCCAAATTCCGGTAAGTGTTGCTGCATCTGTTGATTTATATGTCACAGCAAATAAGTCAACTACAATATCCCTATGTCAGAGAAGATAATTTTGGGTGGAATG